ATTCAGACGGGATTAACTTTACACTCCTCCCCCTTATTTCTGTCTCTCTCTCTCTTTCTCCACAATCTCTTTCCATTGTGGAGTTTCCGAACTTTACTCTCCACATGCAATCTACTCTCTAGGAAAGATACGCATTCAAAGCGTGTAGGTGGGCCCCAAAAAGCTACATCTGTAGAGCTTGTTTTTGTTGTTGTTATGTTGAACTTAAACAATAAACTTTTTCATGTGCTGATGATTTGTAAAAAACAATTTGGGGTTTTACAGATAAACTTGTGTGCTTGCCATCAGCAGAATTTGAATAGAGGAGCTGTGTGCTGTGCCCCAGATGCCGGCTGACAGTAGGTGGGCTGTTTGCTGTGGGGATGCCAGGTTGTGTTTTTGTTTGGCCCTCCTCTGTCCCGCCTGCTTCCCTCCCCCTGGCCGGTGGGGGGTCCCGGGCTCCCGGGGTGCGTCCCTGCTGACCAGTACCCAGGTATGAGGCTTTTCGGCTTGGCTAACACCAGCCACAGGCTGTGGGAGGTTAACGAGGTACCAGCAGCCACAAGACACTAAACCCTCCCATGGGCAAACCACAAGTGGTGGATGTATCTCAATGAAAGGCATGAATAAGATATAAGACAGCAGTAGAGAGTGTATGGAGTAGAAAATAAAGAGTTACTGTTACTGGAGGTAATCCTCCACCAAGCCATTTAATGAAGTGCTTTTCTTCATAAATAACAAGATAAAGTCTGATGTTTCATTTAAAAAACTTAACTAGTACTGTACATAATTGGACTAAAGGAGCATCTGATGAGTCTTGCAATAAGTTTTAAAATGGCGGACCCCTTTGCTCCTACAGTAGAAGTCATTGAGTAATCAAACTGGGATTTCAAGGCTCTATTTATAATCAAATTCAAGATAAATTAGCATCTCTGCAGTGTGATTTTAGTTCAAGTTGGAACTAAAATCACAACTGATGTGTGACACTGTACCCATAGACTGTCACAAAGCCACACTCTTGATCAAGCTGACTATTCCTGTTTTCAATCTACCTTTGTTTCAAAGCATCAGGATCAGAACATAACAACAATAGCTCAATGTTAATCCAAAACGCCACCTCTGTTGGGCTACAAATCACAATGTGGCTGGATGAAATCATCTTGGTTGACTAGTGAATGAGGTGAAGAAGAAATCCTACCAGTAGAGCACCATTCTTAAAAATTCACAGCATGTCAGCTGAACTACCTTACCACCAATTTAGGTCTGAACTAAATCTATTAGACTTCTCAAAGATTAGAATATTCTGAAGCACCTGCTCTCCAGAGTGACAGCAGCTAATCCAGATACACAATGGGTCAGCATCCTCCAATTGGATTCTTGTGACCGTCCACAAAAAAGTAGCTACAGCTTCTTCCAACATGCTTCCTGTCAATAAATCTATCAATGTTAGGTGGCTAAAGAGAAACCTTTTGTCCGATACAGTTCTGAGAGTATCAGCGTGGAACAGATGGGCCCGGCAAGGCAGGCCAAGCCATTGATTTGACCTTGACACAGACAGCTGAGCTGAAGTGAATGAAGCAAAAACTGGACTCATAAAGCAACACTTTACAGGAGCCGTTTGTCTTGATCTGTTTATTTTTGCTCAATTTGACGAAATGATCAAGTTTACCAATTAAAGTCTTGGATGAACAGACTAAGTGGAGAGCGCCTTCCTCAGCAGCCGGGCCCGCTCTGTAGTGAGTGGCAGAGTCAGTCCCACGATCCTTAGCCTTTGGTTCGTCTCCCTGACAGCAGGAGAAGCGTGACGCCGTCGATTCGCTGGGAGACAGGGGGAGGGCACATTGCCACAGACATTAACAAGCGTCTTCACCTTTTAACAAGCACGGCCCCGTTTAGCTGAAACGCTCCCCTGGGCTATTAGATATTTTCCGATGAATTATATATCAGAGGATGAAGATGAAAGCGCTCAGTGTGAGCCAAGAACATAGCTGGGGGGACAACAAGAGGAGCAGATTTTTTAAGCCTGGTTAGGCTGTTTGTTTTCTGATCGTTCGGGGAAAATGGGAAAACTCCACTCGGAGGCTACCGTAAAACTGCAATCAGGAGGAATATTAGCATCACTATGCTAAAAAAAAAGACTCTATAAAAGTAAATTATTAATGGTATTAATATTAGCCATCAAAATTGTGATGTGTTTAACCAAACAGATTCTAATATTAGCCACTTTATTATTTGCCCTCTAAATATTTGGACTGAAATTTAACTGAAGATATTAGTTAAGTCAATATTAGCTATTTTCATTCGTAGAGTTTAGAGGAGGTAATGGTAAAACAATTGTTTTTATTTGTACCACAAGTAGCATTTACCTTCAGCAGTTAGACAGGCAATGGGCAGTGAGAAAAGGGGAAAGACATCTTGGAAATCAAACCCTAGAGGGATAAAAGTTTCACCATGTCTTGCTACAAGCTAATATGTTTACATAGCATTTATTATGAATTAATACGTCAACTTAGTGAGACATTAAGAGCTATAAGATTTGTGGTTGAGAAACTTTCTTTACTGAAGCAAATATTTGAGTTAAGTGCTGAATGCTAATGCTAAAGTAAAATTTGCTAGCAACCTTCGTATGCTACTAATGCGATAAAAAATGCTACTATGATTAATTGGATGCGATGTCCAACTGGGTATGTTGAGTCTAATAATTTACTAAGGGTTGTGTTATGAGTGAATATGTAACCTTGACTGAAGTTATAGAGTGTCAAAAGACTTGTGGTTGAGGCAGTGTGTCTTTTCAAGAGTTTAACTTGGTATTTACCTTCAGCTAGGTTAGCTACAGCTAACCTAGTTGTAGCTAACCTACATGTGCTCAATGGCAATAACTGAGGCAGTTATTGCCACAGACATTAACAAGCGTTAATGTCTGTGGCATTAACGCAGACATTAAGGGTTACATGCCACATTTTAAAAGTTTGTTACAATTTCAGTAGTATCCTATGCTTTAATTAAATAAATGTATATTTTACCATTATACTGCATATTGAAAAAACATAATCTGTGACATTAATGTTTTTTATACCTATTTTCTTATATCTTGATTATTTTCTATAACACATCTTATTCATTTTTTTAAATAAATATATGAGCATATAAATCTGAAGTTTGGAGGACTAGCTTGCATGGAGTACAGTCTGCTCACAAAGGTCTCATTGATTTTCATCTCGACTAAAAGGCCAACAGCCTCGCAGTCTGTTCATCTGGCATTCAGACGCCTAATTAGTTCCCTAACCTGCTGCTTGTTGGAGAGCATCAGTTGAAACCGCCGCCGAGGCTGAAGCTTTGGCCGACTAGAATCACACAAAAGACAAAGAATCTAAATGAGATTGAACCTGGATTAAACCAGAGCGGTGAAGATCTGTGGAAACAGAGGAGTGGAATTAGCTTCTGATAATCTGGTGCATGCGTTTATATAATCCTGAGATGCAAAACACAGTGAGACCATGTGAAGGGGCTAATGTTACATGAACTTTATTTTCCAGTATCAGACATTATGTTTTCAACCAGCTGATGGAGATTTTTCTAACAAAATCGAAAGAAGTCAAATTTCCACCTCCAGCTTCTTTGGCTATTTTGCTTTTTATTGTAGAGATTAATTTGATTTTTGACAAGGTTTTTAGTCTAACCTTTGTTTTTTTCTTTTACAAGTTTACTTTATTGGTTTTTTAAACCTCATTTCTGTAGGAATAAAACCAGTTTAAAACATTCCATTGGTTCTGGCCTCTGCTCTTTTGGATCAGCCACTTTGTGCTCCCTGTTGGTAACACAAACTCTAAACATGTTGCCTTCATCTTTCAATATCTTTGGACTTTGATTTGACCTCAAACTTCAGTTTGGATCTGTAAGATAAATTGTAGACAAAAGAGTCAAGAAGGAGGTGAAAGTTTTTGTTTTGTTTTCTGATTAGTTGGCAGTAACTGTAGATGAAATGTCACTGTAGCAACTTACTTCTCTAATAGCTTAATGAACTAACAGATCAAAATTATAATAGTCATTTTCTACAGCCAAAAAGGCAAAGTTAAAAAGGATAAAGACCTTTAAAATGTGCTAAGCTCAGTGGCCTTTCTTCTTGTTACCTCCATGTAGAAAGGTATCCCTCTTGGCTCTTGTAATAAGGCCAACACTTTTTAAAATTTGTATTTCTGTGTGAGTCAGTCTGAGAGAAGACTGACTCCATGTATGCTATCCCTGTCAACTTTGTCTTGCTATAAATTATGTTTTAATTTTAACTGATGAAAACTTTTACTTTAAGCTTCTTTTTTATCTCAAACTACAGGTGTTCTTTTTGTGTGCCCTGTTCTCATTTCACACAAAGAAACAACTTCATCCACTTTCTTTACACCCTTGTCCCTTAGTGGGGTCGGGAGGGGTGTTGGTGCCTATCTCCAGCTAACATTCCAGGCGAGAGGCAGGGTACATCCTGGACAGGTCGCCAGTCTGTCGCAGGGCAACACAGAGACACAGGACAAACATGCGCACACACACTCACACCTACGGGCAATTTTGGAGAGGCCAATTAACCTGACAGTCTTGTTTTTAGACTGTGGGACACACATGCACAGGGAGAACATGCAAACTCCATGCAGAAAGACTGGGGCCAGGAATTGAACCCAGAACCTTCTTGCTGCAAGGCAACAGCTCTACCAACTGCGCCACCCAAAAAACAGAAACAACTTCTATCACATAAAATATAATGACTGGAGTAAGTGCTTTTCAAGTTGTGGTAGTTTGCAAATGGATGAATTTTGGTCAAAGGGGATAAAAGATTTATAGATTTTCTTCCTAACATTCGCTGTTATCCAATTTCTCGTTGCTTTAGTTGTGTTGCAGCCACATGTTTCTATCCTTTCACCTCTGCAAATCAAATTTCACTCTCATTTCCATTGGTTGCTAAAATTCCTCTCCTCCCTCTCAAACACACTCACACACTTTCTCTCTCTCTCCCCCAATAAATACTGAGCATCTCTCAGTTTAATCCGCATCCAACGAGGTTATCCGGAAGGAAACAAATCAAAGCCGCTTGATGGGTCTATAAGCCCAACCAAAGGATCGTTTTATATAAACAGAAGACTGAAGTAAGTAGGATCCTTTTTCTTTTTTTGTTGTTGATTTTTTTTTTTCCTTTTTAGGATTTTCCTTTAATTTACAGTCAGACCGGGCAGCTTACAGGGAGATAACTGAGGAGGCGTGTTTGAGGGGAGGTGGGGGGAACTTTTCTCCCCTTTTCCAACCAAAGGAGCATTCAGGCAATGAATTTCAGGACAGCGCAGGATTCACAGCTTCACAAGGATTTAGTCATGATGAGAGGAAAGCAGATCATGCAGTCAGTTTATAAATTGCTGTCTATTCAGTTCTTAGCTAATTCCTTAATGCTGTATTTATGTAGTGAAGGCTAGTAATTGTCAGCTAAAAAAAGTTATATATATATATATATATATATATATATATATATTTGTAAATAAATGTATAATTTTACTTTATACAAAAATTATACATTTTAGGTATAATTTTACTGTACCTAAAATGTTCAATAATTTGAGAAATTTCCCAAAATTTTGAAATTTTAGAACATTTTCCAAAAAAATCCCCAATTTTTTATTTTTATTTTTAAAAAACATTGTTAATGTCCTTATTTATTTTAGAAAATTGAAAACAGGACATATTTTATTTTTAATTATTCTCAATAATTATAGCACTTTTTTCTTTTTAAAATATATGTTTGATTCCAATAAAAATAAATAAATAAATAAATAAATAAATAAATAATAATAATAATAATAATAATAATAATAATAATAATAATAATAATAATAATAATAGACCACTCCTCCTGTTTTCTGTTTCTTTGTTTTGTTTGTTTTTTAGAGAGGGGTTTCGGGGTGTGTGCGGGTCGTCTGCCAGTCAGCTGCTCCTATAAACACAATGCCACTCTTTGTTTTATTTTCATGACGCAGAAAATTGCGGAGGCCCGAACGCGGAGCCGCGGCTGCATGGCGTCCCGTAATCAGGCCAGCGCGTGCCGTCCGGATTATCGCCTTAATTTCTCTCAGAAAGAAGGAAAAGAGGGATGGAGAGGGGGACTAAATAAAAAAGACAGAGAGAGAGAAAAAAGATTTGAGCCAATAATAATTATTAGCCTACAGCGGGGCTGGAGGGGTGTTTATTATTGTGGAGGAACTGAGGAGGAGAAAAGTGACAGATTGAGTTTGGGATAAACAGGAGCGGCCGTTATTGGCTTCGGACGAAACGATGAGTCCGGCTAATGCTAATAATAGTATTAATAGAGAAGTACATATTTTAATGCCAGGCAGGTCCCTAACAGCAGATGCTAAAAAAACAAGAAGATATTTCAACTGACAAACAAATCAGGGCTTGATATTTTATTGATGCACTATTTAAAAAAAAGCTACATTATGTGCATTCTAATTAAGCATTACACACAAGCCATACAGTACTAAGCATTAGCTATTTGGCCTGTAATAGAGAACTGTAAGACTTAGCTTAGTAAAACTATGATACAGCTTTAGCTAATATCAACAATGCTAATGTTCGTTCAAACTTGCTAGCTGAGCTTCTTAAAGCTCTTAGTCGTTAACATTTAATGTTTTTTGTGTTTATTTTATTTACATTGTTTTCACTCTATATAATTTCTTTTTATCACAAATGATCACAAACCAAGTATTATTTTTTGGTTATTTTTAACATGGGTTATTAATTAGCAAAACTATCTTTATTATTAGGTGGAGTTTTTTTTTCTGTTAAACGTTCTACCTGGAAAGAAATAATTAAAATAGTCCAAAAATAAAATGTTTGCAGAATGCTTCAATAGTGCCATTGGTTAAATGCTAGTTTGTTTGCATCTTTATGGCAATATGAAAAAATTTTGCTTATAGTTACAAAGTTAATTTGTCACAATGGAACTACTTTATCTCCACGTTCGTTAGCAAAAATGCAAGCAGACGGTTACACAGATTTATATTAATTGCTCTAACAGTTTGTTTTAACAGTGTACTCAACAGTGAAATGTTACAATTAGAACATGCTGCCCTATTAAAGGTTTTAAAGTACTTCAATTAATCACTCCGGTTTGGAGTGATTAATTTATGCTCGGAGTGATTAATTTATGCTCGTTAACAGAGATTCAGTTTTGAATCCAAGAAAGGAAAAAAAAAAAACACTTTCTTCTTAATCAGACAAAAATTTGGTCTTTTTCATTTGTTTTATTGCTCTGAGTTATATTTTATTTGTTCTATCTCGATCTTCAATTGGTGCTATTGTTCCTGGTATACTCGAAGATAAATAGTGATCAATCTCCTCGTTTGTTTGGATTAACCGCTCCTCTCTAATCAACACTTCTCCAATGTGTCACCTCTTAAATCTAATTACCGGGAGCAATTCAATAGAAAGAGGAGGAAGAGGAGGAGGAAGAGGAGGAGGATGCACCAGAATGAGTAGATCTTTATGTTTCATACTTTTTCCTAAAGTTTCCAGTTGAAATCTTTAAGCACTTTTCTTTAAGGACACAAACAAAATCACCCAAATCGATGCAGAGGTGTGATTAAATGCGCGCGCAGTTTGCAGCCTCATTGTTTGTTCCCTCAGAGTCTTTTGTTATCAGCGTTACTTATCGGTCAACACTGCGCTTTGTTTCTGCAAATCAGCTGCTTCGTCCCCTACCTGTGGGTGTATATGCTAATTGAGTGCTCAGTTGGGGCCCAACGAGAGTGCGCATTTTAACGACAATGTTTTTTTTTTTTGTTTTTTTTGGTGGCGCAAGTAAAGGAGGAGCGGGTGGAAGCGATTTTTTTTAGGCGGGGTTATTGAAGCTGTTGGAGGGAGGGGCAGCGGGGTTGATGGCGTAAACGCCTGTCAGCCAGACAGAGCATCTTCAGTCCAGTGGGGACAGCTGGGGGTCTCCATTCTGCTTTAAGAGTCCCGCGAGTTTGAGGACGCCCACTTTTTGAGTGTGTGTGTGTGCGCGTAAAGGCTGCGCGTAAAACCCGGCGGACATCCACTACTGTTAATATTTTTATGTTTTCCTTCAGATTCATCTGGACCATTTCAGAATTCGGAGACGCCAGTGGGGGGGAACGCTATTATTAATATTATTATTTGCGCCATTTTCTTTACTACTTTTTGTGATCGGGGTTGCCGGAGGCAAACATGATGTCCTATTTGAAACAACCGCCGTACACGGTGAACGGACTGAGCTTATCTACCTCAGGAGTGGACTTACTGCATCCTTCAGTGGGATACCAAGGTAAACTAAATTTCTTTAAAAGTAACCATTTTTATTTCAATTTCCGTAATTTGCTACTCCAATCTGAAGGATTTTCGATGGTGTTACTCCAGATATGGTGGTTTTAAATTGCAACAGCGACATCCTTTTGTTGTGTCGTTATTAGCGACCCCTCGCAAGCAGAGGAGGGAGCGGACCACCTTCACCCGGGCCCAGCTCGACGTGCTGGAGAACCTGTTCGCCAAGACCCGCTACCCTGACATCTTCATGAGGGAAGAGGTGGCTTTAAAGATCAACCTCCCTGAATCCAGAGTGCAAGTGAGTCCTAAAATTACACGATTCTGTAATAAAAATGCACATAATATTTGAAACACAATTAAATTCGTTGAATCTGTCTGGAATTGTCTGATTTTCTTGAAACACCACCAAGACGTGTCTTTTATCTAATGAGCGATCATCCAAAGATTTTAAAATGCCACTTTCTGCAGGTTAAATTAAGTTAACTATATTTTCTTCTGTTGTACTAATTTCGTAGTTTATGACCTATTCTAATTTAAATCTTTTTTATTATTATTATTTTTTAGGTCTGGTTTAAAAACAGACGAGCCAAGCATCGCCAGCAGGCCCAGCAGACTCAGACGGGCGTGCAGAACAAGTCTGTCAGCAGGCCGGTGAAAAAGAAAGGCTCCCCGGTCAGAGAGGCCAGCTCTGAGAGCGGAGCCAGCGGCCAGTTCACGCCGCCCTCCAGCACCTCCTTGCCGGCTGTGAGCAGCACCAACAGCAGCACCAGCAACAGCAGCAGCAGCGCGGCGCCTGTCTCCATCTGGAGCCCGGCCTCCATCTCCCCGCTCTCCGACCCGCTCTCCACCACACCCTCCTCCTCCTCTTCCTCCTGCATGCAGCGATCTTACCCGATGACCTACACCCAGGCGACAGGCTACAACCAGGGCTACACGGGTTCCTCGTCCTACTTCACCGGGATGGACTGCGGCTCCTATCTGTCGCCCATGCACCACCAGCTGTCCGCCGCGGGCTCCAACATGAGCCCCATGGGCGGCAGCGGGGTGTCCAGCCACCTGAGTCCGGCGTCCTCGCTCTCCTCGTCGGCGTACGGAGCGACGGGGCTCGGCTTCACCGGTGCGGCGGACTGTCTGGACTATAAGGACCAAACTGCCTCATCGTGGAAGCTAAATTTCAATTCGGACTGTCTGGATTATAAAGACCAAGCAGCTTGGAAGTTTCAAGTGTTGTGAGAGAAGAAAAATGGAAGAAATTGGGAACTTTTATGAACCCATGCAGAGCCGGTCTAAGACTGAATGCAGTCCTGAGCGGAAATTGGCACCACCAGCAACCACACCACCACCTATATTAACTTATTGGGCTTTTTTTAATTCCCACTTACACAGTTTGCTAACATAGCAGTTAGAATGATCATATCACACAATTATGATATAATATTTCACAATAAGTATTTAAATAAAGGGATACCGAGAAGTAAAACCGTGGAGAAATCACTGGCCAAATTTAAAAGTTGGTTCATTTTTGATTAACAGCCATCTTTGGATCTATGCTCTGTGTGGTGGCATGCTGGGGGGTCCTAAGCAGCGGTGTCTCGCTCTTGCCTTGACCCGGCTCTGCATTCATGCAAACATGCAAAAATAAAGTTTCTTTCTTTTTTTTTCTTCTCTCCACAAGAAATCAGGCCCTAACTTCTACCTCGGGTCAAGCAGCGCAGGACTGTCTCACACTTGTTGGACTAACTTATTGACCATCGAGACTCAACTTTGATCAGGGGCACGGAACAAATCTGCTGACCAGAAAAGAAGAAGAGAGAAAAGGATCAAGAGAGACTAACTTGGAGGAGTTTGAAGGATTGGTCAGGTCTTTTTCCTGCTAAGCTCCTTAAAGACTCTCCTTTTTCTTTTTCTTCTTGTTGGCACGCTGAATGGGCGCCCCTTTGATCAAAGCGATGTGCATGAGTGTCTGTGTTGTAAGGAGCGTGCGTGTGTGTGTGCGTGTGTGTGAGAGAGAGAGCGTTAAAGCAGCTCTGACGCGAACTTGGATGCACTACTTAATTTATGGAAGAAGAAGAAAAATATACGAATATTTGACAATCAGTCTGTTCGCGCGTGAGCCGAAATGTCTTTTATGTGTTTTAAAATGTTCATTTCTCCCCTTGTAAAATTTTTTTTTACCCGACTTGTGGTTTTTTGTTGTTGTTGTTGTTGTTTTTTTTTTTTTTTGTATAACCTGTATGCAATTCTGCCTTGCGTAAAATACGCAGGAAAAGCAAGCTGTGAATTTCACATTTTTATTTCCATGTTACCAGTGTTAACTAAAAGAAGGATTTTATTAGTTTTCATGATAAATCAGGAATAACTACAGTGTGCGTCTTGCATTTGAAGGTCCATTCAAAACTGTAAAGGGCGACAAAACCCACTATGAAACAATAAAGACCTTTTGACTCAGATTTGATGTTTCTGTTCGTTTACTGTAGCTCAAAATGTCAGAAAATTAGTTACTATGGCTCAAAATGTATTTACATTTTTCACGCAAAACCTCTTGGCGCACATTAAATCCTTATCATTTAGAGTTTGGTTTAAGGAATTGTCGAACCCTGAACTTTTTGTGGCAGCATCCACTGAGTGGGGAGGAAAGTGTAACCGGTCAAAGGGTCACCACGTTAATCCTCACTCACGCAGGAGGTCAATCTGACATTCCCAGTTAATAAGGAAAAATGACAAACCCAGGTTGGCCATGCTTTTGGAACAGTTCGCGCGCAAAATCACGCGGCAAAAGCGCACGGAACACATCGAATCGTCTTCGATGGGAAAGTAAAAAAAAAGCAATATAATTATGTGACTTAATTTAATATGAATATCTAACTCAGACGTCAGTACAAAGTGCAGTTGTCAGGACGCGTTTTTGTAGCTTTTGAAGCGCCTGTGGCCCAAACAGCTTCCCCGGCAGATTCGAGCAGAACGTCATATTGCTTTAATTAGGACTGAACGGGAAACGTGACCGAGTCCTCTCGGATCTGAGCCGTGACTTTTTTTTTTTTTTTTTGCTGCCGTTGAAGGGCTTTGTCCCGATCAGACCGCCAATTAGCAACAATTGATCCAATTATACCGCGGCACCCTAACAGCCTTTGAAATGAACTGAAGCTACAATAACAGCACAACGCATTCATTTATCATCTTCAATGACAAATTAATAATAACAATAAGCAACAGACAAAACAATTAATGTAGCAAAAGTAATAGCATAAATAATAATAACGTAACAGAAATAATAATAATAATAATAATAATAAGAGTAGAACAAGAAATGCGAAAATATCAAGATCATATTGTAAGAAATGGCTCCACTACCAAAATATCCGCAGATCACTTGGTGATTATACTTAACCCTTCAACAGGTTTTCTAATAAATGTCAATAAAGAGCAGTAAGTCAGATTTCCTGCCGCATTTGGAGCGGGAGGCCCTCCCAGGTTTCCTTTAATTAAAGCACAAGCGGCCCTAAAGAGGACATATGGGCCAGGCAGGCAGACGCGCTTTATTAATCCTCTCATCGCATTTAAGGATGTTAAACAATAATAATGAAAAAATAGGTAGTCAGAGATGGAGAGAGAAAGAGAGAGACCCTCTTTTCGGCCGATTAGACCGCTTTTTTTTTTTTTTTTTTTGGGCCCTGGGGCGGGGTTTTCCCCAAGCGGCATCACTTCAGCTAGACCGGGGATTTCCGGGATTTCCTCCCAGCTGGGGGAAGAGGAGAGGCGGGATCGGGCTGAGGCTGTTTGATCACAAAGTTTTCATACCAGTTGCTGCTGTTAATCACCTCAAATATATCTCAAATTCGCAGGGCGAATATCTCAAATTCTCTCCAGACAGACAAAACCGATCCCGAACTGCGCCATTTCAACCCCCCCCCCTCCCCCCATTATCCGCAGCGCTGACTGGCAGGTGTTCTGTTGGTTCTTTAGGAATAAAAAGAGCAAGAGAAAGTGCTGCGGGGTCTCCTCTCCTCTCCTCCCACTATGAATGCCATGCCAGACACGGACCTGATGCAGATACTT